CCAACCTTCTGGTTAGCAGTCAAATGCCTTAGGCACTATACCACCAGAGCTCCCACTCCACATTGGTCTTGCCAACAATCTTTTTAGAGCTGCACTGTAGTCAGATTCTGGCAGCCCAGCCTCCTTCCTTCCCTCTGTCCTTCACAAGGGTCAGACTTGCACTGGGAGCAGCTTCCAGGCATATTGACATTATCTTTTGTTATTTTTTCAGCTACATTCAGCCCAGCTTTCTGCTGGTTTTAGCCTCTCATTTCTCACCAATCCTTGGCCATGTAGACTTTTTATCCATTGGGTGCTCCCCTCTTCATATCTAGGGATGCTTTCTCTACCTCTTGGTGCACCAGCAGAAGGTTAGTGGTTTGAACTCACCCTGTGGTGCCCTGGAAGAAAGACCTGGTGATCTGCCTCCATAGGGATTACAGCCAAGAAAATCCTCTGGAGTCGTTCCACTCCGTAACCCATGGGTTGCCATGAGTCGAAATTGACTAGATGGCAACTGGTTTTGGTCATCAGTGCTTTCCGGTCTACCTGCCCAGACACCAGCTGGCCACGGCCTTGCTCAGTCAGGTGAGCCTTAGCTCTGCGTCAGCTCCACATCTTCCCAGGCTCTAAATCAGAAACAGTGCAATTTTTTTTCTTTCCTTTTTGATTAACAGATAGACTACATCTCTTATCTCTCCCCCAAAAATCTTAGTTACTATGCATTTGTCTAATGTTACATGATACATAAAATATTTACATACCCATTTTTTTTATTTGACCCGTCTTATCACCCCTGTGAAGATAGTAGACAAGAATTTGCCCACTTTAGAAATAAGGAAGTAATCCACTTTTGAACACACCACGGTGCCTTTATTACCAGAGAGAGTGGCACTTTTCCCCTTGACTTTAAAGTCACTACTTAAATATTCAATAGTTATCATCTTCAATTATGATAATTTTGAGTATTTGGGAAAGGACATGACCGTATGGTATACATTTTAGTTCTGTTTTTGCTAATCTGTAACAGCCCTCTTTGTATCATTGCTCTTAGATTTGAACTACATTTTTCTTAGTTTGTATGTGGATGCAGGACTGTGGGTCAGCTGGCTTCCCAAAGCCCTCCAATTCCCAACAGTTACTTTATTCCTTAACTCTGCCACAGGGAAACTATGTAGCAGCCATGTAACAGTTGAGTAACACGTGAAGGGTGTAACATTTTTGTCTGCTCCTGGAATTCACTTTTCATGGAAAGCAACAAATGAGGGATAATTGTTTTCCTTCCATAAGCAGACAATGAATGATTTTCATTGTACCAGGGAAGAACAGATGCTGTAAAAACAAGAATAGACCAATGTTCTTGGAAGGGGAAAGGTACGTACGGGAGATGAGTGTGGGCTGACTCAAGAGCAAAGTCTCCGAGAGTTGCAGAAACAGCCCTCCTTTCTTTTGATGTCTGATTCAAGCCCCACTTCATTCATGTCTTTCCTGTCTATTTCATCTTCTTTCAAATTTCCACATCTTATTACCTGTACCATATACATTTCAATTGCTACTTCTTAACTGATGTGGTTACACATCTGTCAGCTTGTCACACTGTGGTAGCTTGCTGTGATGCTGGAAGCTATGCTTAAATACTAGCAGGGTCACTTGTGGTGGACAGGTTTATTGATGCTTCCAGATTAAGACAGACCAGGAAGAAAGGGCTGGTACATTACAGACAGCCCCCAATTTATGACATATTAGAGTTACAACAAAGTGCACTTATGGCTGTCTTTTATTTTTTTGTACATCTTGTTGCTAGGTGCTGTTGGTTGGTTCCAACTCACAGCAATCTATGTACAACTGAACAAAACACTGCCTGGACCTGCACCAACCTCACAATCGTATTTTTGAGCTCATTATTGCAACTACTGTGTCAATCCATCTTTTTGAGGGTCATCTTCTTTTTTGCTGACCCTCTACATTCCCAAGTATGCTGTCCTTCTCCAGGGACTGGTCTGTCCTGATAACATGTTCAAAGAACACAAGACAAAGTCTCACCATTCTTGCTTTTCAGGAGCATTCTGCCTATATGTCCTCCAAGACAGATTTGTTCATTCTTCTGGAAGTCCATGGTATTGTCAGAGGGGCAAGGAGGCTGCATCTTCCAACCTCCTCTAACCCCACACGAGGAAGACAGAATCACCATCAGCAGCCCAAGGCGTATCCCTGTGAGGCCAGACATGCGACCTCCCTCCAGCCTTTTCACCAATCCTGATAGCAACTGTTCCTCCCGCAGTACCCATCACCTCTTTGCAGGGTTTAATAAATTGCTGCAGTGGCCATACAGAACTCACAGATTATAGGGTTTGTTAGGGAAGCAACAGGCTACAATTCAAGTTCAGAAATGCACTCAGTCTCTCGCAGCCTACCATCCCTCAGCCAAAAGTCTCTCTCAGTCTCTCTCTCAGCATTGTGTGTCTCTTGGTGTCTCTTTGAGCAATGCATCTCTCATCTCTCTCTCTCAGCAAGTGTGTGTCTCTCAGGAGCATGTTTCTCTCAGCAGCATGTCTTTCTCAGCCAGCAGTCAGAGAGACTCCTGCCTCTAGCAGGGCTCCTTTTGAGCCTGGCAAAGTAGCTAACTAACCAATGCCAAAATCAGAATTCTATACATCTGAGAAAAAGCAAACTTCCCAGAAAATTGCTTGGTGCTACAGGCAACAGAAATACCCCAGGTGGAATAACTTTAGCAATCAGGAGCTACTCAGTTGCTGATGGCAAATTCCACCATGGAATTTACAAAGACTTATGGCTAGAAAAGCCACACTATGTAATTTACTACACCCCAGGTATATTCAATATTCGTTGCCAACACCATAATTCAAATGCATCAATTCTTTGATCTCCTTATTCATCTTTATACATCTTATGGTTAGTAATATGTACTACATACAGTGTTGCAGTATGCCATTTGCTGATGTCCTCACTCTCAGATGGTTACTCACTGATATTCAGTTTTATGACTTAATGTTCAAAACATTGCTCAATAGCAAGCTATGAAAACTTAAAAAAAAAGAGGTGTTCAACTTACGTCAGAACTGACTTAAAATGGACTTATCAGAACAGAATCCCATGGTAAGTCAGAGACTTACCTGTACTACTGAAAATTTGCCAGTGAAAACTCAATGGATCACAACAGAATGTTGTTCAGTACAGTACTGGAAGATGAGCCCCTAGGTTAGAAAGCACTCAAAATACACAGTGGCCACAGCAGTGGACTGGAGCAGACTGGCAATCATGAAGATGGTGCAGGCCTGGCAAAGTTTCATTCTGTTGCACACAGAATTGCCATGAGTTGGAGCCAACTTGATGGCAACTAACAACCACCACAACTTAGGTGGTTACATGTTGTTGTTGTTGTTATGTGCCGTCAAGTCGGACCCGACTCACAGCGACCCATCCTTGGGTTTCCGAGGCAGTATAACTACGGAAGTAGATTGCCCCATCTTCCTTCTGAGGAGTGGCTGGTGGGTTTGAACCGCCAGCCTTCTGGTTAGCAGTCAAGTGCCTTAGCAACTATGCTACCAGAGCTCCAGGTGGTTACATAAGCTTGTCCTAAGGACACAGGTTCTGTCTTCCAGCCAGACGCTAGCCTAGACAATTACCCATAGAATTGGGATAAAGTGGGAAGGAGGAGGTGATAGTCATGTGTGGTAGTTAAGGTTGTATGTCAATTGGCTGGGCCTGGTTGAGTGGCTGGGCAGCTGGTTATAGTGATTCCACATGATGAGACTGGTAATCAACTCCATGATGGAATCGACTTTGAGTAGCTGAGTAGCTGCTTTGAGAATGTGGTCTGCTTCAAGTACATAAGAAGATGCTTTGAGAAAGATTTTGAGCTTTTGGGCACTCTTGGATCCTGCATGCAGTTGAGTCTTCCTTCAGCAGCCTGCTGATCTTAGAAGTATTTCTGGAATTGAACTAGTAGCCTGCCGTGTTGCTTAATAATCTTGGGACTGTGCCATTTTACTTGTTGACCTTGGGTTTGTCAGCCTCAGCAGCCAGCAGCTGGCTGAGTTAGGAGAAGCCTCCAGCTCCAGTGGGCCAGGAGCAAGAGGCAGAGCTGAAGTCCAAGGTCGAGGGCCTTTCACTTTGAACTCAGACTTCTAGTTTCCTAAACTGTAAGAGAATAAATCCCTGTTCCTAAAGCCACACATATATGGTATTCCTGTGAGAGTGGCACTAGAGAATCAGAACCCTATGGCGGAAAAAAAAATCCCCACAGGAAGCCCTCATATTACTCTGCAATGAGCTCACAGGAAGCCATGAATAAATACTGACTGAACTGAACTAAGAGACACTTACTTCGTGGGCCTCGCCGGCTTGCCATGCTCAGGAGGCGAGTCTCGGGCTCTTGCTGTGTGGGTTCCTCCTGGTTGTCGTCATGGGGTTTTTCTGACACCATCTCCTCAGGACCAGCAGTCAGTGGCTGTGGGTAGAAGGTTAGAGCTTCAGGTCCCTAAGGCTTCAGTTCACTGGTTCTAACCTCAGGATGAGGTAGGTCAGTCAGTGAGGAACAGACACACATTCTCTCAGATCTGCATGACCTGAGTCACTGTGGCCGCCCCCAGGGAGGCTATGCCAAACCTGCCTTTCTCTAAGAGGTTTCTTGCAAACTAACTGAGGCATCCCAAAAGAAAATAGCCATTTTTACCTTTTCTATGCAAAATCTGTAGAGCTCTGCAGAAATGTAGAGGAATAGGGAGCAGCATATTCATATTCAAGCAATTTGTTCCCAACTCCAGATAGTTTGTAAGCACTTGCTATAGTGTCACTCGATAATCTAGGGCATGTGTTGTGTCCACCCCTTGGGTGGTCCCCAGGAACAGCTTCTGGTTTCTTCTCCAGGCTCTCAGAGAAAGCCCTGTCTGTGCCAGAGAAATCTCTGGGTGGTACAAAGGGTTAATCCTCTGGCTGCTGTTCTGAAGGTTGAAGGTGTGAGTCCACCCAGAGGTGGCTCAGAAGAAAGGGCTGGTGATCCACTTCTGAAAAAAACAGCCACTGAGAATCCTATGGAGACAGCTCTACTCTGGCAGACACGGGTCACCATGGGCTGGAATCCACTCAATGGCAACTGGTTTTTTACTGGTTGCCAGAGGAGAGGCAGGTAAACAGGATTAATGGTGGAGGCCAAGACTGAGTGACAGCAGCCTTTAGGGGAAGGCAGACTACGGTTTGTCTCCAAATTCTGATTTACTGTGGGACTTAGGCAAGGTATTTAACTTTGAGTATCAGATTCTCCTCTCCAAAAGAAGGAAAATGAAAATCGCCCATTTGCTGGGATGTTGCCATCTATCAGGCATTGTACAAGGCATAGAGAGTTTGGTTTACCGTATTTTTAAGCATATTATATGGTTTTTGCAAAGCAGCTTTGCACTTTAGCCTCCCATGAGCTCTGTGCATGTGTGAATTATTTATATGGGTGCATTATGTGTGAAAATATGATAAATAGTGGGGAGGAGCCTATGACATCTTATTTAAAAGAAAATGCACTGGGTAATTCTGCCTTAAGGCATCTGACTGCTAACCAGAAGGCTGCCGGTTCAAATCCACCAGCCACTTCTCGGAAGGAAGATTGGACAGTCTACTTCTGTAGAGACACTGCCTCGGAAAACCAAGGAAGGGTCACTATGAGTCGAATCTGACTTGATGGCAGCGAGTTTGGTTTTTGGTTTTTAGTTCTAAATTGTAGCCAGGTGTAAGAAACACTATTGTACACTCTAACCAAGCACTAAGTCATTCTGCTCTATTCTGTGTGATCCTGTTTTTGGGTGGGTTAAATTAATGAGCAAATACCAACAAAGAGCAAAGCCTGGACAGCAACACTAGGGAACTGAGAGCTACTCTAGTCTCTTCCCCATCTCTGCCCTTTCTCCCGTTCAGTCCAAGCTCCACGCCTACCTTTGTCTGGACCACACAGACTCTCTGTGCCTGTGGGCCTTGAACTGTGGGTGAGAACAGCCCTCAAGTACTTAACCCTTTCCACCTGCATCAGTTCATCTGTCTCAGTCTGCAGAGCCCTGGGCAGACCCTGCAGGAATGGGCTGGAGTTCAGGTGCCTGGCTGACTGCAGGTCTTCCCCACTGGACCGGGGACCTTAGAGATGGGCCCACGTGCCTGGGTAGCACTTCTCTGCCCCCTGGTTTCTGCCCTAGTCACCTATGGCTTCACCCCAGCCTGCGGGAAAGGCAGGAGATGATGGCTTCTATAACCAGCATTCTGCAAACAGGCTTGTGCTGGGCAAACGGGTACTCAGAGAGAGCTTTCTTCCTGTCCCCTTCCCATCCCCCTGGCCCCCTCTCCCAGCAGCCCTGTCACGTGTCTGCTGGCTCAAAATGGCGCTCCCTCCTCTCCTGTCTCCTCTCCTGCTGGCATCTGGATTGTGGCAAGCAAATCCACCCCCACCATTCTCCCCTGCTGCCCTTCTCAGAGCAGAACCGCTCCTGACCAAGGCAGTGTATTTCTCTTGATGAGGTTTACCTTGCCGGGGCGGTTCCAGCCAGGAGGACAGCCGCGGAGAGGTGGGGAGGAAGAGCCAGCAGGCAGCAGGCAGGAATGGCCTCAGAACTGGGAAAAGCGGGAGTTCCTCAAGATGTATGGTTCTGCACTGCCATCTACTGCCAGTCTGAGTTTATGGCCTTTGATGACAACACTAAGACTGTTCCAGTTGTTTCCAGATTTCCCTCTCAGAAAATTGGGGGTGGCTAGGGGTACTGATTGTTATTGTGAACGTCAACTCCAACCAGTGCCACGCAGTGGACTCCACCTCACAGCGACCCTATGAAGGTCAAGGAGAACTGTGTCCCATCGGGCTTCCAGTGGCTGGATTTTTGGAACTAGATCACCAGGCCTTTTTTCCGAGGCACCCCTGGATGGACTCGAACTGCCAACTATCAGTTAGCAGCCAAGTGGGTTAACTGTGTGCACCACCCAAGGTCTCCTGAGGATCATCACTAAGCCCCCAAATCAGGGTCCTAGAATCCAGGCCATTCACCTGCCTCCCTGCCTCACGTCGCCCAAGCCAAACGCTGGAATGTACGGGGAGGTCTCCTCCCTCTGAGATTCTGTGTGGGTGGATTTTTAAGACACATCATTTGCATCTTGTCACTCCTTACCTGTTTCTTTCTTCTTTGTCTTTGAGCCTTCGAGCCCTTCTCCACTCTTCCCACTTGGGCATCCTCTTCATTTTCAAGGAACTCCTTTGATAAGATGCAAATGAGAGAGTTGACATTTGGAATGTATGTTTGTGTGTGAGCTGGGAAAAAATGTCAAGTGAGAATAGGGGTCTGATTTTTATGATATCAAAATTAAAATCACCATCTTGACCCTGGGATTTTATCCACTCAAGTTCACTTTGAGTTTTAGGACAGTGAATGCGAAGTAAGGAGCTCTGGTGGCATAGTGCCTAAGGCATTTGACTGCTAACCAGAAGGCTGGCAGGTCAAGGCCACCAGGCACTCCTCGGAAAGAAGAGTGGGCAATGGACTTCCATAGAGGGACCGCCTCGGAAACCCAAGGAGGGGTTGCTAAGCAGCTACCAGTCTCAGAAGTCATTCAAACATTGTAAATAAGATGACATCGGAGCTTCCATTGTTCCAAGTCCTAGTTCATGCACAAAACACTTATTGCACACTTATTGTGTTCTTGGCCTTATGGGGGCCACAGAGATGAATGCAACATGCTATGTCACAACTGAGTGTAGGAGATGAACAAGTGAATCTATCAGGATAGACACTCTGATAAAAAAAAAAAAAAAAAAGGACCATTGCACAGGAGACAGACATTAGGCATATTAGACATACAGACACTTGGGATGTTTTGTTGTAGCTGGGTGCTGTTGAGTCAATTTTGACTCTTAGCAAATGTTCACCTTATACACCTGTCTATTGTTACCCCATTTGATGGAGTAAAAGGGCCCCAGAGGCTGTAATCTTTACTTCATCTCTCACACTTTCATTGTGTTATCAGAAGGGACCATTCCCTGGAGAAGAATATCATGCTTGGTAAAGTGGAGAGTTAGTGAAAAAGGGAAAGATCTTCAATGGGATGGACTGACACCGTGGCGGGAGGTATGGGCTCAGGTGTAGCAGGGATGGTGAGGCTGGCACGGGACTGGGCAGTGCTGTACGTAGGGTCTGCACATTCTGTTGTACATCGGATCACCATGAGTCAGAACCGACTTGACAGCACAACAACAACAACAACAATCGTTACAGGAGCAGGTCACCAGGTCTCTCTCCCCCAGAGGTGCTGGGTTAGGTCAAACCGCCAACCTTTTGGTTAGTAGCTGAGTGCTTAACTGTTGTCCTACGAGGTCTCCTTGGGGGTCTATTGCTGGTTCTCTGCATCCCAGCCTTGCCATCAGGTGGACAATAATGAAGGCATATACTCAGTCACCACAGAAGTTTTGATTTAAAGGATAATTTTAGCAGATCTTTTGGAAAAGGGAGACTCCTTTTACAGTGCACACTTTGGTTTCTCAATACTTTGGTTTCTTTTTCCAACTTATGCTTTTTAAAGTTGAAGTCAGAACATGTTGGAGCTGAAAGTTCCTAAGTTTTAAAGCTTTCAAGTTTTCCAGTCCTGGAGCTTTTCGAACTGGAGCTCAAGTATTTCTGGGTGTACAAGATGTTGTAAGATAAACATACACCCTCTCCTTGTACAGGGACATTTTGTTTTTTTATAGTGATTTGAGTGACAGTTTACAGAGCAAAATTTATTTTCCATGCAGCAGTTCATATACATTTTGTTTCCTGACATTGATTGCAATTCCCCATAAGGTATCAGCTCTCTTCCCACTTCCTCCCCTGTGTCCTTCTTTCCTGTGCATTCTTGCTCTCTGAGCTATCTCCTTGTGCCCCCTTCTGAGCTCCCATGGATGAGTGTTCCAAAGAGTGTACCTACCTGTTGCAAATGTTCACCTTATACACCTGTCTATTGTTTGGCTGGAAGCCAAAGGAGTGAGTTCAATTCCAGGCCCAAAAGGTGACTGGTTTCACCAATCTCCATCAGTCCAGTATGCCTGGTCTTTTTTATGATTCTGAGTTTCGTTCTACATTTTTCTCCTACTCTAGCTAGCATCTTACACTAATTCCTTTCTGAGTGGTTGGCAGTGGTAGCCAGGTGCCATCTAGTTCTTCTGGCCTAATTGTTTCCATGTGTCTTTGATTTTCTTCATTCTTTTTTGTTCCAGATGAGAAGAGACCAATTGTTGCATCTTAGATGGCCACTTACAGGGTCTCAAGACTCTGGTTGCTACTCACCAAAATAGGATGTAGAACATGTTTTTGTGTGATATATTATGCCAATTGAGCTTGATGTCCCCTGCAACCATGGTCTCAAGCCCACATGGCCAACAACTCACTCCCTCAGGATCGCTGGCTATGGCTAAGGAGTTAACATAACCTTGTACCCTGTTAGCTCTATTACATACATGGACATTCTCACGGCATATGCAAACATGTATGTAGAAATATCATCTGCCAAACTTATATATATAAATATATATATATATATATATATATATATATATATTTGTTGTTGTTGTTGTTATGTGCCGTCGAGTCAGACCTGACTCACAGCGACCCCTCCTTGGGTTTCCGAGGCAGTATCACTATGAAAGTAGATTGCCCCATCTTCCTTCTGAGGAGTGGCTGGTGGGTTTGAACCGTCAACCTTCTGGTTAGCAGTCAAGTGCCATGGAGCAACTGGTGGTGAGCGTGAACCACTGATCTGGTTAGCAGCCAAATGTCTTACCTAGTACTCCACCAGAGTTCCTTAAACTTGTGTATGGTTATGAGTGTATTCCTTCTTGCCCCATCCTCACTCTTGCCTCTTATTTTAGAGCCCAGGCAAATGGCGTTCTTAGCTCAGCACTTCCCCACATTAGATCATAAGATGTTGATAATTTTGAGGTTGTGCCTGGGAGGGTCTCAAATCAATTCTAAGTTCTGATTCCTTTAGAATGAACTTGTGAAAAACCTAGGTTATTTTTTGCCTTCTAATAAATGTTTTGATCCTTGATAAGTGAGAAACTGTTCAGTAGGACTTCAAATAAGACACAGAGAAGGTAGGCTCCATGAGGGGTGTGATAGTTGGAGCTGTGTGTCAACTTGGCTGGGCCACAATTCTGTGTGGTTTAAGCAACTGTGATGTGGGTTGTTCCAATGATGGGATCAGCTGTATACATTTTGGGCAGCCAATTCGTTGAAAGGGAGTATCCCTAGGGGTATGGCCTGCTTCTAGTATATTTATGGACGTCCTGGGAAAAGAAACACTCTTCTGTGGATCAGGATTCTGTTGTGCTGCTTACAACTGTCCGTGAGCAAACAATCCACCATTCGGCCTGGAGATCTTGGATTCATCATTCATTGGAGTCAACAGTCAGTACACTGCCTGCTAACCTTGAGCTCCTCAGCCCCTGCAGCTGCGTGAGTCAGGAAAAGCCTCCAGCTTGACGTTTGATCCAAGAACTTTGGACTTGCCAGCTTCCATTAAGTGTATGAGCCATTTTCCTAAGACAAATTTCCCTTTTTCTCTCTATATAAGCTTTACTGGTTTTGTTTCTCTAGAGAATCCAGTCTAACACAAGGGGAGAAGATTTTGTTTATCTTGTCCATCGCTCTATCCCCAACATAGCCTGACACAATAAATATTTGTTGCATGAATGAATAAGCAAATGCAGATTTATGTGGTTTCTCAATACTTGAGATCTTGCTTAAAGTTTATCTGCTTTTTTTTTTTTTTTTTTCCCCTGGGTAATGAGCTCCTTCAGGCTTTTTGAAATACTGTAATGGAAATGGAGTCCCTCAGTAGCCCAAAAGGTTAAGTGCCCAGCTACCAGCTGAAATGTTGGCAGTTCAAACACACGCAGAAGTACGTTGGCAAACAGATGTGAAGATCTGCTTCTGAAAGGCCACAGCCTTGAAAACCTAATGGGAAAGTTCTACTCTGTGCACCTGGGATTACCAAGAGTTGGAATTGATTCAACAGTAATTAGCAACAAACAACAACCAGTCAGGAAACAGCACATGTCTCCATTTCTGCCTCTGTGGTCCATTGAGGAACCATTGAGCCAAGGGAGATGCACGGATTGAGAGGAGTACTCTCACCTCTGTGAGGTGGTCTAACGAGTAACCAACTGCTGTTATATTGACTCTGACTCATGGTGACCCCATGTGTGTGAGAGTAGAACTGTGCTCCGTAGGGTTTTCAATGGCTCATCTTCTGAAATTGGATTGTCAGGCTTTACTTCCAAGGTGCCTCTGAGTGGCCTTGAACTTTCAATCCTTTGGTAAGCAGCTGAGCCCCTAACTATTTGCATTACCCTGGCACGCCTGTGGGGGGGGTCTTCAGTCTGGCTCCCTTCTCTCTCTGGTCTGGAGAATTCTTGATATTTTTTTGTACAAGAGTCAGAAACTGAAGGACTTCATGAGGCTGGGAATGGCCTCACAATTTTATTAGTCATTACAGTTTATGACTGTGACCTTCCTTCTGAATTTCTTAGAAATCAGTGTGATTCAGGCAGTGCTGGACTCAGAAGTAGATGGTAACTTAGAACTACTTTTTCAGAATTCATGAAACGGTGACAAAGCAGATTTAGAGCATCCAGGTAGAGCAGAAGACCCTGACGTCCCTATGCCACCTACCCTCATCTCCGTCATATATCTAATATAGCACCCTCTGTATGTAGTAGGTGTGCAATAAATGCTTGTTAGTGGCTTAACTTCCTAACACCTACATGTGCGACAAGAATACACACACACACACACACACACATTCCCGAGGACATCTAAGCAAACACTTACCTCTGTTATTATCTTTACTTTTTCTTCCTCGGGATTCATTTTGGCTCTGATGGATCCCTGGGAGCAAACGATAACGAAGAGGTCAGATATTTTGAAATTAACAGAACATCTTTTTTTATTGCTCGTGGTCAATATGAAGCTGATTTGGATGATGAGTGAAGTATTTGAGTTGAGCAGACTTTCCATTCACAAGGGATACATACTTGTGGATCCCAAGGTTGAAAATGCATACAGCCACAAAAGGAAGGATGCCCAACTGTCTCCCCATGAACCTGGCTTTCCTGTGCAAGAAGTCGGAGCATGGGGAAAGCTCTACCCTGGCAGTCAGATAACGTTGGTTGGAATCCCAGCTCCTAAACATCTAGTTCCTGGTTTCTCCTCTCACCTCGATGAGAGCTGTGGTGGTTCAGTGGTAGAATTCTCATCTTCTATGCAGGACAACTGGGTTCAATTCCCAGTCAATGCACTTCATGTGCAGCCACTACCCATCTGTCAGTAGAGGCTGGTGTGTTGCTGAATAGGTTTCAGGGGAGCTTCCAGACTAAAATGCACTAGGAAGAAAGGCCTGGCAATCTCCTTATAATCAGCCAGTGAAAACCCCGTGGACTACAATGGTCCGATCTGCAGCTGAGCATGGGGAGGGTACAGGACTGGGTAGCATTTCATTTTGTTCCATTGTGCCTGGGATCACCCTGAGTCAGGGGCCAACTCGATGACAACAAACAATAGTAACAATAACCTCTCCTCTCAAACCTTAGCCTTCCCTTTCCTTCTCACTCTCTGCTCGTGACCTTGCTTCACATTTCACTGAGCAGGTAGATAAGACCAGAGAGGCCTTCCAAATCTCTCCCCTCCCCATTCACCTACCTCACTCAGTCATATCACCCCTTGGCTTCCATGTGATGCTGTGAACCATCCCTGCTTCCACCTCAGCCAGCTGCTGTGGCCGCACACTGGAGTCCATCACCTGCCCTCCTCCAGGACAGCTTCTCCCATCACCTGGCTCCCCATTGCTTCTTGCTCTATTGCCTCCTTCTCATCAGGTAAAAAGTGCTGCAATTTGTCCCTTCTCTTTTTAACTATAGTTCTATGGTTCAATCCTTTACAGGAAAACTCCTCAGAACATCGCTCCTATTTTCAATCTGTTCTTTGGGCCCACCATTGCCTTAAACTGCTCTTACCAGGGTCTCCATGACCCCCATGGTTGCCACATCTAACGGTGTACCACTTCTCATCTTATTGGGCCCTTCTGAAGCATACTTAACCACTCCTTGAAGCACTTTCTTCACTTGGCTTCTGGGACTGATCTTTCCTCATTTTCCTCTCACCCATTGGCTACTCCTTCTAAAACTCCTTTGCTAGCTTCTTCTCATCTTGACCACCATCCCCTTTGGGAGTGTCTCTGGGTTCAGCTCCACTTGTACATATCCCCACAGAGCACTCATCCTGTCCTTGTCTTTAAAACCTGCCTACATGCTGATACTTTCCAAATTACTATACTGGGCCCTGCCCTCTCTGCAGAACTCCAGACTCAAGAATCCAACTGCCTGATGGACATCTTCACTTGGCTTATTGTTAGTTGCCGTTGAGTCAGCTCTGACTCATAGCAACATTATGTGTAACAGAAAGAAATATTGCCTGGTCCGCTGCCATTCTCACAATCATGTTGTCCATAAGGTTTTCACTGGCTAATTTTTGGAAATATACTGCCAGGCCCCTCTTTTTCTGGAAGCTCTGCTGAAATGTGCCCACCATGTGTGACCCTGCTGGTGACATAGCTTCCAGTATCCCAGCAACATGCAAGCCACCACAGCAAGATGGACAGACAGTTGGTGGCTTGGCTTGTTGTTGTTATGTGCTGTCAAGTCGGCCCTGACTCATAGTGACCCCTCCTTGGTTTTCCGAGGTGGTATTATTACGAAAGTAGATTGCCCAACCTTCCTTCCAAGGAGTGGCTGGTGGATTTGAACTGCCAGCCTTCTGGTTAGCAGTCAAATGCCTTAGGCACTATGCGTGGCTTGGCTTAACACTCCTGAATGAAGCTGTCACCTTTTATCTTTCACTTGTTTGTCCTGCAGCCTTCATTGGTGCACTCAATAGACCTCCATTGTGTCCAGGCCAGGAACCTAGAAGTCATTCTCGATTCCTCACTGACTCTCACACGATACACCACACCCCATCTATCCAATATCCTACCAGCTTTACTCTCAAATTATATTTGAAATCCAACCATTTTTCAACCTTGCTGCTATTATAGCCCCCGTTCAGCACCATCCTCTCTCCCATGGATGATTGCAAGAACCCCTTAACTTCTCTATTTCCCGTGTTGGTCACTGTCTTAGTTCTCTAGTGCTGCTATAACAGAAATACTACAAGTAGCTGGCTTAAAAATAAACAAAACAAAAACCATTGCCATCAAGTTGAGTCCAAATGATGAAGACTCCTATTGGGTTTCCAAGGCTATAAATCTTTACAGAAGTAGGTTGCCTCATCTTCCTCCTGGTGAGCAGCTGGGTTTCAAACTGTCGACCATCTGGTTAGCAGGCAAATGCCTTACTCACTATGCCACCAGAGCTCCTCAGGTTGCTTTAACAAGCAGAAATTTATTTCCTTACAATTTTGGAGACCAGAGGTAAGAAATCAGGGTGTGGGCTCTAGGGGAACACTTTATCTCCCTTTTGGCTCTGGGGAAAGGTCTTTGTTCTTTGGTTCCTTGGGGTGTGGCATCTATCTCCCCCCATCTCTGCGTCCTTGCTTGGGAGCTCTGGTGGCATAGTGCCTAAGGCATTTAACTGCTAACCGGAAGGCTGGTGGTTCAAACCCACCAGCCACTTCTCAGAAGCGAGATTGGTCAATCTACTTCTGCAGTGAACTTTATGGGAGTAGATTGCCCAGTCTTGCCTCCGTGGCATGGCTGGTGGGTTTGAACCACCAACTTTCTGGTTAGCAGTCAGATAGGCACTGTCCTACCAGAGCTCCTTTTGCCAAGGTGTCAAAAACAACAACAAACAACAACAAAAAAAAAACCCAAAACAAAACAAAAAAGAAATCCTCAAACTTACTGCTGTCGAGTGGATTCCAACTCATGGTATGTTGTTGTTGTTATTGTTAAGTGCTATTGAGTTGGCCCCGACTCATATAGAAGTTAGATTTATAACACATACTTTTGGGAGGCACAGTTCAGTCCATAGCACTCACTTACAGTCTATTATCAACATGGAAGCAGAGTGAATCTGTTAGAATTAAGTGAGATCAGGATACTTTCTGCCCAAATCCTCCAGTGACACAGAGTAAATCCAAACTCATTTAATGGCCTACATGGTCCTATATGATCTGCACCCTCCAGTTCTTAAACTCTCTTGCCTCTGGCCTTGGGCACTTTTTGTTACCTCCATCTGGGACTCTCCCAAATTTCACTTTGCCAGAGAGGTCTTCCTGGCCCACTTGAAATACAATGAAAACTCCCCACTCCCGCTCTCCTGGCATTCCCTAATGTCCTTATGATTATTCATTTTTCCATAATATCTATCACTGCTCATCACACAGTTATTTATTTATTGCCCTTTGTAACTGGGGAAGGAGCTCTGACAGCATAGTGCCTAAAACACTTGACTATTAACCAGAAGGCAAGCGGGTCAAACCCACCAGCCACTCCTCGGAAGGAAGGTTGGGCAATCTAATTCCGTAGTGATACCACCTCGGAAACCCAAGGAGGGGTCACTATGAGTTGGATCTGACTCAGCGCCAGTGAGTTTGGTTTGGTTTGTTTTTGGTAATTGGGGAAAAGAGATCCCAGATTCAAACAGGTTCAATAGAGACACTTATTAAGCCTTGGACAGGACAAAGACAAAATAAACACAATGATCCAGGAAGAGGGAACCCATCAGCACACACACAGTCCAGAAGCTGAATGAAGCCCGCTGAGTCACGGCTGTGGGGCTAATTGTATATGATTGAAAACAGAAGAATCATCACAAAATCATGATTGATGGCAGATGGACTCGTCATTGTTGCAGGCGGGACTACAGAAGTGGGGTAAAGACCATGATCGGTATACATCATATTCGTCTAACTGAAGACAGGAAAGGGTTCCAGGATTGGTCCTGGGTCTCGACTACATGGCTAGGTGGTGATCCGGACATATCTCATGACCGTGTGGCCCGAACCTTAGCCACAAGGTGGCTACCAAACAATACCAAGACCCCAACCTTAATTTAAACTAGAAAAGGACACTCTCAGGCTAGTTCCCTAGTTCTCTGTGTGCATATAATCTACTTTTAACCACACTTGTCCTGAAGGCATACTGCCCCTCTCTAGGTTTGTCCTAGAACTTGTCTGTGTGGAATCACATTGTGGTTGAATGGTCAGAAGGAACTCAAATGGCATCTGAAACATATGTCAAGCCTCAAAACAGTGTCAGGCCTCTCCCTGCAGACCACGGCCTTCCACAGCCCCCAGTGCTGTAGAATTTAACCTCGAATACACCACCAATCCCCAGCTCAGCTGCTAATGGAAAGATCGGTGTTCAAAGTCTACCCAGAGGTGCTCAGAAGAAAGACCTGGCGAGTTGCTGCTGAACAATTACCTACTGGAAACCCTAGGGAGCCCAGGTGTATTCTAATGCGTGTGCGGTTGTCATGAGTTGGAACTGACTGGATGGCAAACTACTTATTTATTTATTTTTGATCCCACTAGAACATAGTAATAAGCAGCTAGAGCATTACTTTGATCATCATTCTCCCTCAGAGCCTAAACCTAGGGCACAAAATGGAGACTCACTAGACAGCTATTGAATGAACGCAGCAATCACTACTTATTGGCCGTGTGCCCCTGACCATATTCTGGAACCCCTCAAATCCTCATTTCCCGCTTTGGGCTGCAGTGAAGATTAGATGAGAGAACATTCAGAGCAATTCGTGGCCCCGGGGGTGAACACATCCTAGATGCTTCCTTAGCATCCATGGAACCTGACTCTTAACTGGGCCTGGGACCACTGCGTGGGGAATGAGCATGTTAAAGCATCTGAGATTCTCCTGTTG